GGGGGGGCACTGCGCAGTACTCGTTCCGTTCTCTTTTCTCAGTCTGAGGCATTTACGGCACGCGTAGGTCGAGTTGGCGGCCGTGTGGTGCTGAAGTCGAATTTCCGAAGGCTATTCCCGAGTAAACGTCACGCAAAGTCAGCACTATGGAGTGTGATATCTGTTGCGAGGACTTTGACAAGGAAGAGCGCATCCCGAAGATAGTTCCATGCGGGCACACCGTGTGTCTCCACTGCCTCGAGGAAAGCAATGAGAATGCGTGCCCAACGTGCCATAAGGTAAGAGAAGTCCATGCAAAAAAAGTACATGAAAGCAATTCACAACAAAATTTGTGAATAATCAGCACAATAAGTGCGATTCGCGGAGACTGAATGCAGGTTAATTATGCGAAAGTCCAAGTGTATAACTCAAGTGTAAATTCTTTCTGTCACTTGTTTCTAGGCCTTCAGTTCCGTCCCCGCTTCACTTCTCACCAACCTCACGGTGCTGCGGCTGGTGGAGCGCGAAGGCGACGTCAGGTGAGTACAGTCCGTTGCGCCGCGGGTTGCCCACCCGCAGGCTTGCAGGAGCCATACCAGTGTATACAGTGTATTGTGTGCTAACGTACCGACTCGTTGGCGCCAGGGTCCCGCGCGGCTGGTGCTCGGACTGCCGCGCCGCCGCCACGCGCCGCTGCTGGGACGAGCACGACGTCCACAACACCAAGGCCGCGCTGAGGCAGTACCTGCGGCCGGGCGTGCTGCAGGAGGCGGCCGCCGAACTCCAGGGGCTGCAGCGCCAGTGCGAGAGGGAGGAGGTGCTCCTGGCGCTGCTGTCGGCCGAGTCCTGGAGCCTGAACCTGCGCAGCGGCCGCGGCCGCGAGCTGACGGGCACCGTGAGGAACACCGAGGACCCCCTCGTCAAGGCCCTGTGGCTCGTGGTGACGGCGAGGGCGGGTCTCGCCGAGGCTGGCGGGGAGCTTCGACGTCGACAACAGGTAGGATGAAAGGGTCTCCCCCAAACGGTCGTTCCAGACTGCGGACGTTACTGTTTTTTTTAAATAAATGACCTATTTTACCACCTGTAGATCGCGCATGAGCGAGTTAGAGCGGCCCCTCTTGTGGCGCCAATCATTATTAAGACTGAGAATTTGCCGGTTGACGATCAAGAGGACCCCTTCGGAGCCTCATGCCGCGCTGCGCCACCTGCAGGTGATGAGGGGCGCCTGCCTGCTGCGGCAGCTGAACCGCCCGCCGACGGGTGTCGCCCGCCCTCTGCAGCAGCTGCAGGTGCCGAGGTGCCAGCGGATCTTCAGGAGATGAGCGTGTTCTGGACCAGCACGAGCAACAGCCTGGAGCTGAAGATGGTCGCGCTGCGGGAGGCAACAGGGGTGAGCATTGTTTTAAAGGAAAACTTCATAATTCTGACGAGAAGCGAGAAGCGCCCCTAATACTTGTCTGGTTTGGCGCAATTCCCGTATGCATGAATGCTAACTCTCATCTTTCCTGCCGCAGGTGGAGCGGCTGGTCTCAGTGCAGTGCCACGCGGACCCCGCCTGGAGCCTGCAGCTGCTGCAGAACGCTGCCGCCACGGTGGAGCGGCTGAGCGTGGCCAGCCCTCACGAGGCGCACCTCCGCGAGGTGGTCGCCATGCCGCGGCTGAGGAGGCTGGCCGTGTCGAGCCACGACGACGCCCTGTTCGCGCATCCGCCCGTGCTGCCCGCGCTGCCGCCCGGCCACCGCGGCCTGCCGTGGCTGCGGGTGCACGAGCAGCTGCCCTTCGCCACGCTGCGCTCGCTGCTGCAGGCGCAGAGGGACACGCTGGAGGAGCTGCAGCTGGTGCTGGCCCCGGTCAAGGTGACGAACCTGCAGCTGCTGCTGCAGCAGTGCGGCCTGCGGGCGCTGCGCCGGCTCGTGCTGTGGAGGGTGGTGGCGAAGCTGCACGACCAGCGCGCCTGCGGCGCCGAGCTGCAGAAGGTGCGGGCCGCGGCGCCCGGCACCGAGGTGCTGTGCAGCAAGTGCGACGCCGTGCCGTGGGAGGACGTCTGATGTTCACTGACCCACGTTCAAATAAAACAAGTTTTTCCCACACCGAACAAGTCCCCTCCTTTTCTTTGAATTCCAGTGTCCCTACAGATGAAGACTGTCGGTCACTTATGCACACAACCGACCAACAGCTCCATGTTCTGCTGATCGTTATTTTGCTACATAGCTCGACACCGCGGCCCATTTCGGAGCTATAAATTTATTTACAGTGTAATTTACACTGTGTGTTTTCTGTCGCACTGGTCCGAAAGCCCTACTCGAGTCGCGTCGTGCGGTATTTCCTACGAGCGGGCGGGGACCGGGTCGCCTGACTTGGTGGAGCACAGGGCACATCAGGTATTCCCAGGTTGCTGGATGCCGCGCGGTGGTCAGGTTGGGGAGAGGGGGGGGGGGTTAAGCCTCGGGGCGGGCCCCTGCCTCCACCGTCGGCGTCCTCGGCCGTCAGCCCCCCTACCTTAACGAGTACTCCTCGTCCAGGTGCGCGGCGCGCGGCACACCCGTCCCCACAGTCGCGGGGAATCCTTCAGAGGAGGCACATCGCAGCAAGACAGATCCGCCGGCCAAGCGCTCGAGTGCCCGTCATCAGAGTCCAGAAGCGGCCCACCTCCAACGCCAGGTCAGCCGCTCTACGCGCCGCCGTCCGTCCACAACCACATCACAAGCAAAGGTAAGTCCACAGTGGTCATAACAATAGCCGTGTGAGCAGAGCGACCACAGCGTTGTGCAGGAGTACTAACCGCAGTGACTGTGTCCTTACAGAGAGCATGGAGCAGCCAGCGCGGTCCCTGCGCTTGATGCCCATCGCGTACTCGGACTCCCCCGGGGCCTCGACCTTCCGCCGGAGTGCCGAGCAGCTGTGCAAGGCCTGCCTGCCGCACGGCCCCGTGGACGTCGGCGTGGACCTGGTGTCGGCCCTGGGCTCGTCCGGCTGGTCACGAGTCGAGTCGCTCGTCATAGACAACGACAGGGTGCAGGACTTGCCCCAGCCGGAGCCGCCGCTGAGCGCGCTGCCCACGCTGCCCGCGCTGCCCGCGCTGCCCGCCCTGCAGCACCTCGAGGTGGACGTGGACGCGGTGCCGGACGAGCTGCAGGGCAACACCATGGCATCATGGCCCCGGCGGAGCGCAGCCTCAGGCTCAGGGTGTACTCCGGGTGTATCCACGTCTGGATGCACGCTGATCTGACCCAAAAGTTTCTGGCGGTGAACTCCTGTCCCAGCTACTGTAGCTCTGTATAACCGAGTACTTTGGGCCTTGCAGGTTGCACGTTGCACGGTGAGGTGCTCTGGGGTGACCTTGCGAATGACGAGATCGTGGACTAATGTTGGATTGTTATTATGTCATAACGTTTTAGACAGTCCGCAAGACTTGCTCTACCGGTAGGCAGCCACATGGGAGCTCGAGTGTGTTTGTAAAGGGGTTTTTCTGTCAAAAACTATCTGTTATGCATCTTTCCCAGCGTTATCATTGTTGTGCTTTCAAAGAACGAAACGCCTAGAGAAGGTCTTATGCTCTCTGTACGCCTCTTAAAGTAGGTATCAAAGGGTATTTTATTGGAAAATAAATATTATTGGCAAAATAAAAAGTTCCATTGCACATTATTATTTTACGTCACTTGTCTTTTGTTTAAGTGTTTTTTTATATACCCCCGCATAGTTTCCCTGCCCATCGCTATCCCCGTTTGCCTGTGCCAAGATGAACAAGATGGGTTCCCTACTATTCGATTCCAACGTTCTAGCTCACCTCATTGAAGCCGCCAATTTTCCCGAAGAGGCCTGTAATATTTGATGTGAATCGGAAGTGTGACCGGGGCGATACACTGTCGGTTTCCTACACACAAGTTTTTGTTGGGCAAATTGCCTACCTTTCAGGTGGCTCACTGGAGGTGCCCCCCCCCCCCCCCTCCCGCACCTACTCGGCACCGCTTCTCGGTTGGCTCACGTCGCGTCGTTGTGGCCACGGTGGAGGTGTTTTTTCCCAACACCGTGTTTCAGGCGTTACCGACCATCGTCTATGTTGAAATCAAGTCTTCATGAGCAGCTATGTCTCGTTGAGGTCAAGGATGGACATGACAGTCCTGAGGTTAAATGAGCTGAACTACTTCGGGTCAGGTGCAGCAGAATGAGAGAGTGTTTATTGAGAGATGCAAACATATATAAGTTATGACAAATGACTAACGACTGCTGATGACGACAGTCTGACCACAGTGAGCATTAACACTACTACCAACGGTTACATAACAACAGTCTAATTACTTATGCACTACTTCAGCGTATAGCAAGTGTAAAATACAGCACACAGCTGGCTAATTTTGTTCTGCATATAGTGTATTTCGACTAACGGATGAAGATAGCGGGTAGAACATTAAGGTTCCTGATTGGCCGAGCGCCTACCCCTACTACCGGCGTGACGTAGAGGCGGGAAGCTCTCGACCAATCGGTAACGTTTATGTCCTACCCGCTATTCTTCTTCCTCCGTTAGTCGAAATACACTATACTGTTTAAGTAAAGGTAAAATTGCTTAAATAAAAGGTTGTACTTTACGTTTGGAATGTTCTTTTCAGAAAAAAAGCTATGTACGTACTTCCTAGCTACATCAGTCAAGGGACCAATGTAGGTATCTACTATGACTCTTGATATACATTTGACCGGGGGGGGGGGTGTTACTTCTGATCAACTAACTAATACAATCCAGGAGGGCGGTCAGCCTTTCCCGGAGGAGGGAGACTCTAGTCCCGCCCGTCGAGGCTGCCGAGCCTAAGCAGCCGAAGCCCCACCTCCCTCATGTCAGGGCTCGGGCCAGGGCCAGGGCGAAGGATCGGGGCGCCCACAAGACCGCCGTCGAAGCAATCTGGGTCCCGGCCCCGGCGGGTCGCGAAGTGCCTGCTGCCCCAACCGGCCAAATAAAATCCCGCTGCGCGAGGGGGTATTTTTGAAGTGTAGTGTAAGCCCAGGTGCGCCCAGGTGCCACGCACCCCGGCCGGCTGGACCCGAGCTCCCAGCGACCCCCTCCCCCCCCCCCCCTTTCTCTCTCTCACCATCTCTGTCTTTATCTATGTATTGACCCCCCATTTCCTCCCCCACCCCCTCTCATTTTATCACCCACTCTAGTTTGTACAGAAAAGGGATAAAAAGGGATAAAACGTTTAAATTGGTACATTGTAATTTAATTAATCATGAAAATTATTGCCGTCTACAACACAAAATACCACACATTACATTGCACATGTCCGTGTTTCAGAACACCCAATACAGAGCACAAACGGGTAGTAAATCTATAAGTGGCTTCAAATGTGAACAACTAGACTTTCCTTTCGGAAAATTGCTCTCCGCACTAAGTGCACTCCAGTGGCTTCTTTCTTGTGCTGGCCTTCATCCGGTGTGAATTCGAACATGCCTTTGTAGTTTGCCAGCGGTCGGAAACTTCACGTTGCATACCGTACACTGAAACTCCCTTTCTCCAGTTTCTCCTGTATGGATTTTGAGGTGTGCGCGCAGACTGCCGGACTGGGAAAATTCCTTGTGGCAGACCGTGCATTCGAAGGGCCTCTCCCCAGTGTGGACACGGAGGTGTGAAGTCAGAACACCTGCCTGTGCAAACGACTTGTGGCACACGTGGCACTCGTGCGGCTTTTCTCCAGTGTGGGTTTTGGTGTGTTCTCGCAGACCTGAAGGGCATGAAAACTTTTGGTTGCATGCTGTACACTGGTATGGCTTCTCTCCTGTGTGGATTCGGATATGTGTACGCCACTCTGTTCTACGGTAAAATTTCTTGTTGCACTCGGCACACTCTATTGTCTTCTCCCCCGTGTGGATGCGCAGATGGCGACGCAAGTTTTCATCGGTTCCAAATTTCTTGTTGCATAAAGCACACTCGAAGGGCTTCTCCCCTGTATGGGAACGTAAATGACCTGGCAGCTTTGAACCGTCTGCAAATTTCTTATTGCATACAGTGCACTCGTATGGCTTTTCTCCCGTGTGCATTCGCAGATGCGTTTGCAGGTTGCTCTTTTGTGAGAATTGCTTGTCACAAAAGTTGCACTCGAATGGCTTCACCCCGGTGTGAGTACGGAAATGAGTAACCAGCACAGGTCTCGTTCTAAAGTTCTTGCCGCACACTACGCACTCGAAAGGTTTTTCGCCTGTGTGGATGCGGACGTGTCCGGCCAAATAACCTCTGCGTGCAAACGTCTTGTGGCACACTGTACACTCGAAAGGCTTTTCCCCGGTGTGAGTGCGGACATGATATTCCCACCCAGATTTATCACTAAAGTTCTTGCCGCACACTTCGCACTTGAAAGGCTTTTCTCCTGTGTGGACTCGAAGATGTCTAGTGAGAATACTCGTCTGTGAAAACGACTTGTGGCAGACGAGGCACTCGAACGGCTTTTCTCCGGTGTGGGTGCGCTCATGCTGTTGAAGAATCGATTTTACCGCAAACGTCATGTGGCACACTGTGCACTCAAATGGCCTAACCTTATCCCCGGCGTGGTGGGTACGTAGATGAGATTCCAACGCAGGTTTCTGCCGAAAGTTCTTGCTGCACACTGCGCACTCGAAAGGCTTTTCCCCTGTGTGGATTCGGATGTGTCTACGCAGAACACCCCCCTGCGCAAACGTCTTGTGGCACTCTGGACACTCGAACGGCTTTTCTCCGGTGTGGATGCGCTCGTGCGTTTGAAGAGCAGATCTGTTCGGCCACTTCATGTCGCACATCGCGCACTCAAAGGCATTTTCCCTTGTGGGCGCCATCGTGAGGGCTCCGGCTCCTCGTACTGTGGTAACAGACGGGAATGTAGTGTCCCTATAGTAAAGAGAGAGAGAGAGACAACTAGTTACGTACCACAGTGTTATACGCCCAGTGAGCAATGTAATGTCAGACCGACATCGAAACGACGTCAGACATCAGACATTTGTCGGTTTTTGCATCAGATTCATAAAAATGTGGTCCTGAAATTGACACTTTTCTGATAACTTTTTTTTTTTGTTGTTTTTTTTTCAGTCACGCTCCATGAATAAATTGTAGTTCGGAAGCTGGTGGTCGAATACAGCATTCCGGTAAAGCTGAAATGCAAGAGAATACACGGAACAAGAAAACGGATTTCCGTTTTTTTTCTTCCCCGCATTCTGCTGCATTTCAGCTTTTACCGGAATGCTTCACTGTACAGTCAGCCATCTTATCGCATAGGGATCGCACCTGAGGTCGATCGCTGTCGGGTCGCGGTCAGTCTACGGCCCGGTCTGGTCACGGAGCTGCGCTCGAAGAAGTTCTTCCCCGCGTTCTTCGGAAGAACACGTCTCGCTCGCGCCGTTCGACGTCGTCCAATCCAATGCCGCAGTGCAGCAGGCCCCTCACCTCATTTCCCGTCCTGCGGTGGGACTGCCCCCCCCC